GTTTACACTCCAAATGTAAATGCCTCGGCACGTGTGTAAGATTTCAAGTGTGTTCGGCTCTCACCATCTGAGACCGGGGCAACATAGAGCAAAATACACGGGCAACATACTGTAGTATTTAAGAGCAGGTTGAAACGTGTGTATTAAGCGTCAAAAGTGCTAATGTAGGTGCGTTTGTAATCAATAATATTTACATGAACATTTTTACCCATTTTTTCATATAATGCGAAATTATCGCATTATACAATGGGAGGATTTCATTTTTTTTTCAATAAAATTGTAAACTATCTTGTGTTGCTGATTTGAATCCATTTAAAAGATTTAATTCCAGAAGCCATAAGATCAAACTATATCTTCTGGACCAAACTACTCCCGGGGATTTAACTTTTTGACTAGAGATCAAAGAGACAAGGTGGAGCTGCAGGAAACAAGAAGGGTCTTGAAGAATGGGATTCTCCAAATTAGTGTCATGCGTGCCACTCAAAATGGTGTTAGTGAGTTGTACTTGCCCAGTCATTGACGCGCTTCATTGCTGTATGTACGAGAGAAGATTGTATAAATATATTACATGCACATCCGGTACATCGTCCACCTTCAACAAAACCACCGGTATAGCACTGATACACATCGTTACCCATAACCTGAGTACTCTCAGTGATGCTGCACAGTGTTAACTGTTGTAATAATGTAGAGTGTACACTATGTTGGACTTGGTGAGTGCGAGGCGCGCGTGAGGCGCTGACGCCTGACGTCAGCGCCTCACACCCTTCACATCCAGAATGTGTTTCACAGAAAATTACGCCCCGGAACACACGCAGAGCGCCTCACTGCCTTGGTTACATAGTTACAAACTTTGGTTTATTTCTTCTTAATATCCACATTTTGTAACCAATGAGCTATGTAACCTTGTATAAAAAAGTGTACAACATAAATAATAAAAAAGGGGGTGGTAGGAGAAGCGAATACTCGTATTTCGAGTCAAACGGCAAGTTTTCTCTGAATGCTCTTTATTCCCATCTCCGAGGCTATGGGTTCCTAAATTGCACCAGAGATGGTGCCCCTTATATATTTAATAAAATACAAAATAACGCTGAGGGGTCATAGCGGGCTAGAGCTGCGAGAAGTAACTGGTGGCAGGGAAAGGTGGTGAAAAGTCTTACCCCCTCTTCTTCCATTGTTCACTGGCCACATTCAACGCTGACGTCACGTTGAAAGGTATTTCACAGCGATGCAGCCCCCGGGTGCGGGGCGAGGCTTTCACCATGATATACAACGCTGACTTGGTCTCTTGCTGCATTGGTGAGTGCAACACTGGCACCTCGTCTCGACTCATGCATGTACTTGGTCTCTCCGAAGGTTATAACATTATGTAGATATATAAATTTATAACCAAAAAAAGAACTATAGGGCGTTATTTTATTATTTTATGAAAGATATTTAGCGATGATCGAATTAATTCCCTGAATAATTATTAGATATATTGGTACTTACACACACACACACACACACACACCAAAATAAACAGAATGAATCTAAGGGAAGGTAGAAGCGAGTACAGTAGGATTAAGAGGGAGGTATAACAGTAATTTGAAAACGACGAAACATCAAGGCTTTAATACATAACCTATTATCAGCTCCACCTATTGTTGCCACTTTATAGAGAAACAGTAATAAAGACCAAGTGAGATCAGACTAAGGTGGGGAATGTCCACACAACAAGATCTGCCACACATTCAGCAAAACGTTTCAGAACACCAAAGAGGTTTCCTTGGTTTAGTGTTGGGCTTAAGGCCAATCAACCGCGGGACGGTCATAAAGCCACAATTGCTTACTGACCAACCAGCAAGTAAACTGTTAATGGTTGGTTGTGGTTTGCTTGTCAGTGGAAAAGAATGCAGTACCTGTGGCATTTTCTTTGTATTAATTTAATATATAATATATCTACTGGGTCAGGTAACTAGCTGGCGTGTGTGTGTGTGTGTGTGTGTGTGTGTGTGTGTGTGTGTGTGTGTGTGTGTGTGTGTGTGTGTGTGTGTGTGTGTGTGTGTGTGCAGGGTGAGGGCTTGGGCAGGTCTGCTATCGTCGTGTGGGTCCTCGGCTTCCTCGATGGGACCAGTGCAGAAGGAGTGCCTTGTTATGAAAGATGGTGAGTTAACAGAATAGGTATAGCAAGGCGTCCAACATATCAGTGTATATACACAAAAAGCGGAGTATACTTCTCGGTGAAAATATTCCAAAAAACATCATCCTGGTTACTGAGGAGGATAATAAAATTAGATGTAAAAAAGGCAGATGGTGTGGAGCATATATCACCATGCTGTTAAGAAAGGCTGAAAAGATGCACAGGAAACAGGAACAGAGAGGATTGTCATAGATGAATTAAAGTCAGAATAAGGAACACTCGCAAGTAGAGTCAGTTGGATTCGGCCCTGGGGTTTTTATTGTCAACAAAATACATTTGCCATTTATATATAGACCAGTGACTTATTGTTTACAATATACATCAATTATTTAAACAGACACCGAGGTCGGTACTGGAACATGCAGTTCCAGTATGGAATCCCCGCTTAGTATAGTAACTAAAAAATATATAAAGTTCAGAAGTTTCCTGTTAGGCTTGTCCCTGAACGCCAAGGGCTGAGCTTTGAGGAACTGATGAGACACAAAGATAACATCATATACAAGATTCTAAACGACATTGACTTAAAGTCAGTAAAATTTAATTGTTCAGCCTAATTTGGACTTGTTCTGAAAACAAGCCTCTTTTAAAAAGAAAATAAGAGGCAAAGTAGAGACATTTTTTGTTATTATTTTGAAAGTTTGTGAGTGTGCTACTAATGGCGTCACCTTATCAGATACATTCTACCGACCAAAATTGAAAAATATAATAAGGAAAAGTGTCATCTAACTGTAAAATGCAACTGAAGAATTGGTTTAGAGTTGTAACAGAGAAATAATTACTTTTTGCAGGACCCCTTTTCCCACCCAAGAAGCTGATTAAAAAACAACCCTTGGTTCGACATGAAGCAAAGTTCAATGACTTAAGCTAAATTGATACTTTGGTCAGAGAGCGCTCCCATATAATAAAAAGAGTATGTTACTGTCACCGAGGCGGATATTGCACGCGTGTAAAAGCGGATATTGCACGCGTGTAAAAGCGGATATTGCATGCGTGTAAAAGCGGATATTGCATGCGTGTAAAAGCGGATATTGCATGCGTGTAAAAGCGGATATTGTACGTGGTTACAAGCGGATATGTGTGAGAAACTGATCACTGACGTTCACCTAGATATTGAAATTAACACAATACTAAGCTAAAAATAACAGTTTGCGTTTCGCACTTACTCCTAAGATCTCTTGTTTAGTTAAGGGGTAAGAATGCTTCAGGTGACTACTGCTCCAGGCTGACCTTCCAAGTCGCTACAGTAATTATGAATTGCAAACATGGACAAAAGCTTGTATGGAAATCTCGTCAAATTACTTTAAACAAATAGAACGTTCCGCAGAAAACTTGTCAACGTGTGGCGAGTGTGTGTGTGTGGCATAGATGTACCGCTCTCGGCTGCAACTGTAGTATGGTGGGCCGGGGAGTACAAACATGGGGTGGAGTGGCCTATTCAGTCTGACCATCAGTCTGACCTTCATGATGGTTTGGTTTGGTGTTGGGCCTCTGGCCTACTAACCTCTAGAGGGTTATTAAGGCTACCACAACAGCTTACTGACCAACTAGAAAGTATAGTTTAGTCCTGAACATAATTCGGGATTAAAATAAACTCGGTATATACACCGTGAAGCGTAATACACCCGTCGGTGTGTATATAAGCCTGTCGATCCTCCTGAGGCAGTGTTAACTGTAATTACACTTAGTGTTGTGGTGACAGGTAACACCTGAGCGCCAGTTACACCTGAGTTTGGCAAAGAATCCTTCACACAATAATGTCTGGTTACATCACTGTAATCTGAGAAGTGGCATTTTGGACACACACAATTACATGAGATTATTTTGACCAAAATTGCGTATTGGGAAATCAATAACACGTAAACAATATTGATAATACTGGTGAAAGCTGAGTTAAGAGGCAATGTTGTGGCTTGGGATCATTATTATGGCGTAACGTATAGTGGGCAACTCAATGCTTTTGAAGGTTGGCAGAAGAGGTCGGGCGACCACACTGCTCACGGCTACAGGGAGTGCTACTCTAAAGCAATCATCATTCCCGCCTAGTTAAGAAATCCGAATGTAGACCGGTAACTTGTAGTTGATCATTAGTAATGAGTTATTAGTTTGATAACGGTGCTTTCCTTTGTTGTACCTTGTCTATTCCCTGCCCTGAGAAGTACCCTGTACCCTACACCCTGTACGCTGAGAAGCATCAGTCCCATAGTTTAGAGTATTGCAGGCTATGATGATGATTGATAAAGATTAAGCCACCCAAGAGGTGGCACGGGCATGAATAGCCCGTAAGTGGTACGAGCCGGCTACAATAGGACCAGCCTATTATAGCCAGGAGGACCCACTCCACCTTTGTCATCTTAGTACGGCCTGCACCCCCACCAACACAAATGTTGAGGTGCAGTAAGACGTCTGTCACCCGCCGTGTTACTCACACGAAAGCTCACCACAAATTTTGTTTATATGTTAAAACTCTTTGTGATGGCAAAATTAATAACCAGTCTGTAGAGTCTGGGCATCGTTCCTCCCTCCGTACTCACACCTCAGTGCCTGCACTCATGTTATATCACTTCATGTTCAATACCTGTCCCGGCTCCTATCCTGTCCTCGTATCCCTTCCATGTGTTATATAGTCATACTGGCTTAGCGCTTTGTCATAATTTCCTTTCTGAAGATTTCATTAACATTATTTCAATGTTATATTAAAATTGGCCGGAGTCAATACTTATTGTGTACACTATGCAGGAATCAATGTTGTTTGATGTTCGTGTGGTAAATCCAGAGATTGTATGGGTGTACTTAGTGTTGTCTTTTGTTTCTTCCTCAGGACGGCGCCGCGAGTGGGCTCTACAATCTCCTCTCTGCTCCTCCTGCTATCTTCTCTTCTGTATAGAGAAATGTTTCAGTGTTTGGTAAAGTTCATCTGCCGACCGCCCTCGTTCACTCGAGTCTGACACTATCGTCTCCTCGTCATCTGGGAACATCATCGCTGCCAAAAGTTACCGCATCTGACCTACATGAACAACCACATCCGCCCTTATTAGCTCTACATAAGTTAAACTTCCCCCTATCCCTAAAACACTTACCACGACCCTACTATCCCACTAGCCTAGCCCTACACATGGTTTTATCCTTCAAGCACGTACTCTCTCTACCCTTAACTTCACGTACTGGCTCCTCCACCCATCGTCCCACCAGACTCTAAACTCCCTTCCCCTTTTACATAGTCCCCGAACCTTCCCACACTCCCCCACCATGAGTCTGGAGAGGCTGGGCCCGTCGTCTCGGTACGTGGACTACACTCAGCCGGGCCCCAGCGGGTACCGGGGCGCCCCCTCCGTCAGCAGCTACGAATACGCCCCGGAGCGGCCGCCCCGCAGGGAGCGGGGAGACCGGAGCAGGTCGAGGTCAAGAGACCGAGAGTCCTCCAGCAGGAATGGCTACTCCGGCAGAGAGGTGAGCAAGGCTTCCACTGGGTATAGCGCCCATGTGCTGGCTAAATTAAGCACTAGCCTCGCTAAATAATGTATTTATTTGTTACAGACACACACATAAGACGTTATACTGAAATATTAAGGTCAAAATTTAGGCTCACTGCGTGAAATAACAAATCCTAAGAGAACTGATACACGCCATCATTATATATTTTGTGGTACCAGGCCAGGTACCACACTCCCTGAACCCCATCCAGGTACATTCCAGGTACCATATTAGTGAAATTAAAAATACCATCACTTTTTAGAGATCCTATTATACAATCAAAATTCATTAATTACGCGCCAGGGCGAACACTAAACAAGTTAGGGCTAGTTAATTGTAACACCCTGATACTGTGAGGAGCCGTGTATGGTCCATTACAATCTCAGCCTATTAGCTGTTGTGCACCCCAGACCCGGAATTAGCCTCGCGTACAGTTAATTTAATTTAATTCGTTGTGTCGGGAACAGAAAGCCAGAGTGTGTTCATACACGTTTTGACTTTTATCGATCCTCCACCCGCCCAGGATGCAACCCCACAACAAGCTGGCCAACTCCTGAGTACCTACTCACTGCTGGGTGAATAGAGGCATTAGGTGAAAGGAAATGTGCCCAACCATTTGTGTCCCCCCTGGGATTCGAACCCAGATTTCTCGATTGTGCGTCGAGAACGAACCCAACTGTACTACCGGGACCCCTCTCTCGCCCTAACCAATCCCACTTAATTTATTGAGCGACAATAAATCATCTAAGAGATAATGTCTGTCTATCAAAGGTTGGAGGCCATGACCTTGGAGTCTGGCCTCGAACCACACTTTGCTCGGTGATTTGTGATTTAAAGGTGTTCAGTCGTCCTCGTTCCCTAGGGTTCATAAATGCTATTCTGTTGTTTGTCAGGGGTCTTGTGTGTTGATGATGATCTAATATTTATGCGAGCTTCTGTTATTGTTTTAAGGCGTCGCCTTCCCTTCATTTTATACGGTTCAAAGGATCTTCTTACTTCCTCCTCGAATCTCATTACTTTAAATGTGTTTGAATTGAAGCTGATATTAGGTTTATATCGAGGTCCCCCACCCCCCTAAGGTCAGATCACTGTCCCTCCTCCCCTGGATGCAACCTAACAACATTTACCTAACTCTCTGGTACATATTTAATGCTTGGTGAAAATAAAATCTTCCCCGCAGTTTGTCTCGACCGGGAATAGAACCCAGGATCCCTGATTGTTGGGTTGGGTTTGGGTAGGCTGGGTTAGACTAGCTTGGGTTAGATTAGGTTATCTTGAGTCGATTTCGGGGCTTTTAGTGTCCCCGCGGCCCGGTCCGCGACCAGGCCTCCACCCCCAGGAAGCAGCCCGTGACAGCTGACTAACACCCAGGTACCTATTTTACTGCTAGGTAACAGGGGCATAGGGTGAAAGAAACTCTGCCCATTGTTTCTCGCCGGCGCCCGGAATCGAACCCGGGACCACAGGATCACAAGTCCAGTGTGCTGGCCGACCGGCTCCCCAAGGTGGATTGTATGTAACATTAACAATTGTGTAACTAACTTCACAAGACTGTCACTTGCTTAGCTAAACGAAGTATGAGGTTCAGTTCCTGAACCCCTTATGTGCCTTTGTAACCCTTTCCACCACCGCCCACCCGATGGGTATGGGGTGCATAATAAAGAATGAAATTGAATTGAATTGCTACTATTCATAGAACGTTGCATCTGGTACGTTGGTCATAATAACGATGTGTTAATTGAGAGGACAGGTTGAAGGACAGCTACACTTAAATTGTTAGTTATCGATACTGTTTTAATTACAAGAATAACTTAATTAAGATACTGTTTGAGCCAACAGTTTGAGCGACGATAAATCATCTAAGAGATAATGTCTGTCTCTGTCCAAGGTTGGGGGCCAGGCCTCCAACCACATTTTACATGACGATTTGTGATTGTATGGCGAGTACAATCACTTTGCCCCCTTGAAGGGAAATCAGCCTCTGCACCCCTGTTGTTCACGGATATGAAATGTGCAGCAAAACGTCCGTAGAGTGTTTCTTTTTTAACAATTAGTGCAGTCTGCCAGTGCAGACCGCTTATCACATGCCTCTGTATGACTAACCATCCTGTGTGATGGGGATTTTTTAGCATCACCTAGTTAGCTTTTTTGACACACTGTACTCCACTTCATATAGTCTAGGGTAGCTGCACTAATGCAGATGTACCTCATATCTTAATAAAAAAAAAAAAAAAAGTGCAGGCTACTAAACACATGGCCTTGTATGACTTGACCATCCTGCGAGATGGGGACTTTTATTACCACTGCTACCTTATTCACTCTTGTGTTGATAATATCCTCAAAATGCATCCGGAGTCTGCCAGTACAGACTGCCTATCACATGCCTCTGTATGACTAACCATCCTGTGTGATGGGGATTTTTTTTAGCATCACCTAGTTAGCTTTTTTGACACACTGTACTCCACTTCATATAGTCTAGGGTAGCTGCACTAATGCAGATGTACCTCATGTATTAATAAAAAAAAGTATTCCATATTGACGTACCAAACGGAGGTTCAGATGACAGCATGCTGGGCACAAACTTTTGATTATGAGAATGTAGATAGTGTGTGTAGTGAACATGGTTACAGTGTCAGGGAGATATGGGAACAGTATGTGTGGGTGGGTAAGTGGAGATTGGTATGGCGTGAAGATGTTGACAGTGGTGAAGACTGAACGTTGTGAAAATAGTTATACAGATGTTGACCATAGTTATAGAGATAAGGTGAGACAGGAAAGGTGTGTGAGGGGGTGACGTGGGAGTTGGAAGAGATAAGGAGGGTGGTTGTGGGGGGGGGGGGGGGGGGAAGGGGCCGGGAGATGAGGATGGTTGGTGTAGGGGGAGACTGGGAAGGAGTTTTTTTTATATATCACAGACGTGGCCACACATTTACAATGCTAATCAGGATATATACATTTTCTTTTGTCCTCCATGGACAGGGTTAGAGATCTGGTAAACATATAGCTCGGTGAATTGTTGACCAATTAACCCCAGAATGTGATTGTAGTGATGACCAAACCACAAATTAGAAGGGGAAAAAAAGACGACGTTTCGGTCTGCCCTGGACCATTATCAAGTCGTGTGTTCGACACGACTAAAACGGCCCGAAACATCGTCGTTTTTTCATCTGATGTGATGTCTTCTGATTTTCGAAGAAAAATCTTCTGATTTTTGAATATGTGTGATTTGGTCATCATGCCTGCATGTGATTGCAGTGCTTTCAAAATGCTAATTTAACCTACATACATAAATGTATGTAGAGTGCGAGGCCGCGCCAGAAGCCTGGGCACAGGGCCAGGCCGGACACCGCCAGGTATCTAGTAATTTATTTATTTATATATATACAAGCAGGTACATTGGGTTTGTGAGAGTACATAGCACGATGTGTTTACATTCTTGAAAAGCCACTAACTAGTACGCATAATGTTTCGGGCAGGTCCTTAATCTAACAGATAATGTAGGTAATTTCTAGCAAAATTTACAAAATGTTAACTGGTACATTGTAAGAAAATTTGACAAAGATTAGTAGGCACATTAAAGCACATTGACAGCTTTGATTGAAAGCATTGATAGCTTGATTGATAATTTGACAAAGATTAGTAGGCACGTTAAAGCACACTGATAGGGCATATTTGAAGACAGCAATGATCACAAGGTAAAGTTGTATGTTTAGGTACATATATACTGAGGGATTGGGTAGCACACAGTGTGTTCAATATAACAACCATGATATAAGATGATATCAATGATTACAATAGTAAAGTTATATGGCTTAGGTACATATATTAGGGGATTGGGTAGCACTAGATACAGTGCGAGTTTAAAGCACTAGGTAGGAAACTATGAAGATGAAATTAGGTACTTTTTGGTTTAGTTTTTGAATGAGGCAAAAGCTGGACAGCTTTTCATTTCGTTAGGGAGTGAGTTCCATAGACCAGGTCCATTTATTTGCATAGTGTTTATGAAATGTTTATGGTTAGGTTACTGAACTAGAAAGCAAGAGTACAGGTACATGAGGCACCTGTAGGAAGTGTTGAACACACTACATCGAAGTGTGAAATTCCTGAAGAAAGTTTGAAGCCCCTGTGAAAAACGTGACAAGCCTATGGGAACCATGAGAAGTCTTTTTGGAACGTGACAAGCCTATGGGAACCATGAGAAGTCTTTTTGGAACGTGACAAGCCTATGGGAACCATGATAAGTCTTTTTGGAAACCTGACAAGCCTATGGGAACCATGATAAGTCTTTTTGGAAACCTGACAAGCCTATGGGAACCATGATAAGTCTTTTTGGAAACGTGACAAGCCTATGGGAACCATGATAAGTCGTTTTGGAAACGTGACAAGCCTATGGGAACCATGATAAGTCTTTTTGGAAACGTGGCAGGCCTGCAGGAAGACATCAGTAACAATATGAACTTTCATGTATAGTGATAGCAAGCGTGAGGGAAGTCATGCGCAGAAATGCCTTACATAAACGTGTTAGGAACAACTCAAATGTGTGTATGTGTGTGTGTGTGTATATCTACAGAAGGATCCGTCTGAAGATGTATTATTAAATATGAAAGTGCGTAAAGAAATTCCTGTTTTAATTCTTTCTTCGTGGTCTGATACTGTCACATTTTTCATCATGTGTTAATTTTCGTGATTTACATATATATATATATATATATATATATATATATATATATATATATATATATAATATATTATTTTATTATCAAGAGCCATTGGTTTCACAGATGCTGAAAAAAATCATCCGAAATAATGGGGAGAGAGACCACTGACAAGCCACTGGCTTCCTATCCCTGTCGAGGCCACCAGAAATGATGACCCTCAGGTAAATTCAGGTAAAATCTATAGCTCTTCTAAACCTTGAAGATGTTCTTTCGTAATAGATTAATATCGATTATATTTTCAGGTATATTACAACCCTGGGTTGGTGGAGGAGCGAGCTCCCAGCGACCGAGCAGAAAGCGAGTTCACGGTGAGGAATGAGGCGGTGATCAACCCGCAGCTAGAAGAGGAGGAGCGGCGGGCGGCCTCCAGGGCAGCCTCTGAGATCTATGCCTCCACCAGGATTCCTAGACCTCACTCCGAGATCAGGTCTATATATATATAGGGCCAGTCATGTTGTTCACATTGCTGCTAATGTAACTGCTTCTTCCTGAAATTCAAGTTCAAGTATGTTTATTGAGACAAGACAAAAAAATACATCTCAAAAAGGATAGAGTAGCTTAGGCTATTTCTAACCCCCCCTCTTTCTTTATTGACTGAAGGTGGTCTCTATCTCTGTACACAGTTTATTTTCATAATCTATAAGAATTTAGGGTTAATTTAGTACTAAGAAAGTATTTTCATATAAGAAATATTAAATTAAATTAGATAAATATTTAATTTAACAAAGAAAATTCAGGAACTTTAACAAAATTATAATGTTTTAAGTCTCGTGTTGTATCCACGATAACAAGTCATTTGCCCTTATATTACGTCAGTTAAATATTGGTGGTGTGGAAAAACGTTAACAAATTTTAACAAAATTCTACCTTAATGAAGCTAAGTTTCTTGCACTGCATCTGTCAAATATGACGGGCAAGGAAAATCCAACACTAACTTCAATTTGAATTATATAGGCTAATGTTTTAATTTCCCGGGCCCCGGGAATTCCCAGTTTGTATGGTGCAACATAACAGTTCAAGATGGTAGTAATCTGACAGTGAGAGAGTGCCACAGGGCTGACACAGCATCAGCAGAGGAAGTTGCTGATCTGTATAATGTGATCAATGAGACATCAGAAACCCAAACCTCATATAATGGGGGACTTTAATCACGAGACAATAGATTGGGTAAATCTAACATCAGAGTCAGGAGAATAACTTCTTGACCTGGTACAGGATTCCTTTTTCATACGGCTTAGTTACTGTGCGTCCATGTACACACAGTAACAGCATTCTAGATCTTGTGCTAATATCAGAGGAGGGCATGATTGATCAAATTCAGGTAGGGGAAAAGGCTCACTCCCTCATGCGATCTATTCGACTCGGATTACAATAATTATTTTAAGTTGATTACATTCTCGAATATTCTAAGACGGATTACAATTACAGATACCTACATAAAGGTCCATGATGATGACTTTCTAAATTACCCTGGAGGAGACTAGCAAGAAATGAGAGAGGAACAGCAAAACACCTCCTGCAGGAAGCTAATAGGTGATCATGGCATGGAAGCATCATGGGAAAATTTCAAGAAGCTCATCACTGAACTCGTTCAAAAATATGTGCCAACAAAGAGAAATACAAAAAAAAATTAAATGGATGACACAAAAAAGAGCATTGATAACCAGGCAGAATTTCTGGAGAAGGTATAAATCCACAATGAACATCGATTATGAGATATATAAAATGACATTAAATTCAGCCATCCAGGACATCGGCTCAGTCAAAAGAAGCTACCAAAGAAAACTTGCCCAAAACGTAAAGAAAGATCGAAAGTTGCTCTATGCCTATGCAGTATAAGAAGCAAAACTAAAATAAAAACTTGGTAGGACACTTAAAAGATGAGACTAACCAAGTTATAATGGATGATAAAAGGTCAGCAAATTCTCTGAATGAATACTTTATATCAGTGTTCACACTAAAAAGATTAGACGGCATCTCATTACCCACGCAAACGTTTGAAGAAGATGACGAGAACGAATTAAGGAATATACCCATAATGTGCCATATAATCGGGAAGAGCATTAAAAGACTCGGAAGCCCCAGGTGTGGATGGAATTCAATCCAAAGTTGTAAAGGAACTAGGAGAGGAACTATGACTTCCTCTTTTTCAGAAAATCTCTGGAGTAAAGGATAGTTTACCTAGATTGGAAATATGCAAATATCACCCATATTTTCAAAAAATGCAGAAAGACCTTAGCAGGAACCCACCATACAAACCTGCTCACATTTTTGTAAACGTTATCCAGCTACTCAAATACAAATACAAATGTTTATTCATAAGAATGTGTGTACAAAGAACATGAGAGTAATATACAATTGTAGGAACAGGAATTACACATACGAATGAAGCCACTAATTATGCAAAGTGTTTGGGACAAAACATAACATATATATATACAAAAAAGTTAACTAAAAGTGTGAGGGGGTAAAACACTTAAAACTAAGGAGACGTTAACAAAATGAGAACATTTATGTTCTAATTACTATATATATAATACAGGTGAAATGAATGAAGAATGACTAAAATGTATACTGTATATAAATTGTAAAGGACACTGAGAGAAATTACTGAATATGTTGAGATGAATGACTTCTCATAGTGTACCTCTAGGTGACTGTATTGATGTAGTGAAGGTGATTGCTTATATACTATGTGAGATTAGTTTATGATGTAATCAGCAAATTGACTTCATATAGGTGAAGTATTCATGGGCTGATAGAAGTAAAATAAGAATGTTAGAAAAAGTACAAGTTAGTATATGATAGAAATAAATGGCATTCTTCTTAAAGAAAATGAGAGATACCCTTAAGTAGATTAGTTGAATATTGTTTTAAAGTGTAAGAGAACACTTTGAAAAGTGAACATAAATGAAAGTAAGGTAATGGTGGTAGGAGGGAAGGGAACTGTGCGTAAAATCATGATAAAGAAAAAGGAATTGTGCAGAAAGCTGTTCAGCAGACTTAATATACTGTACAGGGGTGAGGGTTGCTTATGGCAAAAGAGGAATTTGTGTAAGTGAAGCCGAGAGTACAGTAGGCGAGTCAGATAGAAAGTGACAGGCGTTATGAAAGATCTAATTACAACGAATTTAACAGGAAGGCTTATTGCCAGAAGGTTGCTTGAAGGATTGGTTGTACCAAGCCTTGTGTTCTAATGTGAAATGCTGAGTTGGCATGAATATACAGAATTAACAGAACAATAGAGATGGTTTCATGATAAAAGGGACAGGAAGCATGTACCTATCAGGCTTACTAAGGTCTTCCTACACCAACTACTTAATTTCTCCCAGATGCAACCCACAACATTTGCCTAACTCTGTCTCCTATTCACTAATTGGTGAATCAGAGATCAAAAGGAAAATGCTCTGAGGCTCTTTGGTACGGGAAATGGTACCAAAACACTTCTGTCCTTGTCCCAGGAATTGAACCTAGGACCTATCAGCTGCATTAGCCACAGGATCAATTTATTTTAGTATTAAAATGTAATATCTCTAAACTAAATACCTCTGCTGGAATGCTTAAGCCCTAGCTCCTAACCAACATTAACCAGCCATAAATCTACAAACTCACACTAAAAATATTATTAGTCTATACAAAACCCATTTTTATATCTTCCCCTATCACCTTTCTTCTGCACTGTTTCAGTTCCTGAAATTATTGTTTTCTTTCTCCCTGATGAGAATTGACAAGCCGCCGGCTTCTTGTCCTCGTCGATGCCACTAGAGTGTTATCGGCCCTCGGGTTAATTAAAAAAATACTGTACACTAACATTCTTTTTCCTGGGTTTCAGTCAGTATTCTTACCGGACAACTGGAGGCCACAGTGACATGGTTAGCGTGAAGACCAAGACGACGAGGGGTGGGAAACTGGTGATGGAGACAATGACTGCACCTCATCCCTGCTGTCCCAACACCAAGAGTGTCTGCTGCCTCATGGTCCTCCTTAACCTGGGCCTTCTCCTCATCACCCTCGGCTTTGTTGTCGTTCTTCAGCTGTACGACCCTGCTTTTGTCTGGTGAGTGTGTTGAGGCTTTTGTCTGGTGAGTGTGTTGAAGCATTTGTCTGGTGTGTTGAGGCCTGCTTTTGTCTTTGTCTGGTGAGTGTGTTGAGGCTTTTGTCTGGTGAGTTGAGGCTTTTGTCTGGTGAGTGTGTTGAGGCTTTTGTCTGGTGAGTGTGTTGAGGCTTTTGTTTGGTGTGTGTTGAGGCTTTTGTCTGGTGAGTGTGTTGAAGCTTTAGTGTGTTGAGGCTTTTGTCTGGAAAAAAATTGTCACTATTCATAGTAAGTAGTGTCACTAATGTTTTTTGAATTAACTCAGTATTATAAAATGCATTTCAGTAAGTCAGTTTTTACTCCTACAGGTATATTGGTTTGTGTATGCTTATCTTCGGTTTTATGGTACTGTTTGGCTCTCTCATCTACTGCGTGTTTGTGTGTCGGGAGATAGAGAAGATGCGACCACCGCCAGGAGAACTCTACTGGACAAACCACTGGACCAAGCAGCTCAACATGCCGGAGATACACTACACCAATACTCAATATAAACCAACAGATTACAAAGGCTCAGAATATTCCTTTAAAACTGAACCAAGCAGAACAACTGCCACTAGCCAGCGGTACTGAGGGATCGGGCATTTGTCTTCGATGGTTCTGCCAGTGTACATTAGCTACATGGGGAAGATGCTGGGGATACGTCACACAATGGGTTATTTTAGTTATTACTTGTTGTGTGTGGCATTTGTATTGTAGTGTGTTTCATGTAGGTTGGTGGAATATCTTCATAAGGATTTAATTGTATTAATACAACCACTGTACAGTATCACAAAGCTATTTTAAAAACATATGCAAACAAAACAAAAAAATTTAATTTTCATGCTTTATTTATATATAGTATCAATTATTATAAAGCTAAGAGACTTTTTGATAAAGTTCAAATTCTATAAAGCCAGGACAAAAACTCAAAAGGTTTTTGCATTAGAAATACTTTGCACTTTATAACTCATACAGAATTTATAAATATATCATAATTATATATTATTTATTTTAATGAGCAGCATAAAAAATCAATTGCAAACCTGAGAAAGTTTTTTTATCAAACTTTATTATGGAAGCCCAGTATCACTGGCTATTGTCAATTAAGAAAAGAATGCATGTAGACCAACTATTTATATTATATTTAAAATTTATAAATACCAATTATATAATTAATACAAAATTAAATACCAATTTGGGTATCTCCACAGTTGTATAAATCTGATGATTGTTGGACAAGCTTTAATTGACAATAAGAAAACATAAATTCCTTCAAGATTACTTACTAGTCAAAAGTGGGTGCCTGTATCAGTGGCAAATGTTACTAGTTGCCCTGTGCTTTCTTATGTAATATCTGTATAAATAATATTGTTAGAAATAAAACACTTGAGGGTTTTAAGTAAATTGAAGAGCAAACTTTAATGATAGAGGAATGCTTTTGAAGTTGCTGCAGGTGTTAGTGATGTCATAGTGCTCTGCTGCAGGTGTTAACCATCTCGTAATGCTCTGCTGCAGGTGTTAACCATGCCACAATACTCTGCTACTGTACAAGTGTTAGTGATTTCATAATGCTTGCATCAGGTGTTAGTGATGTCATAATGCTCTGTTGCAGGTGTTAACCATGTCATAATGCTCTGCTGCAGGTGTCAACCATGTCATAATGCTCTGCATATTGTGCCATATTAGATATTCAAGCTTGACATTTGTTCTTTATTTGTTCATGATAGAGACTAAGGTGCTCAAGTACATTTTACATTTGCAAGAGATATTTCATGACCATTTGACCATTTATGCATTTTAGAAATTATAAATATATAAAATATTTTTTGACTGGTGCCACACGTGGTGAGTGACATTTGAAGTTGTTCTTGAGTTAGCTGCTGAAAGTATCACTGCATGTTTATTACTCTAGTGTGCAGTAGACTGCACAGTGAAGCCACAGGAACGTGTTGAATCTGAGATAATATTGAGTATTGAGGATAATACTCAAATGACTTTTATTGCCCAGTATTGTACTGTCTCCAAAGATGCTATGTCCTTCTGAAGATGAGGTTGTCATGCTTGGATACAGTAATCCAAGTGGGGGCACACCAGAGATTTATACAAGGGGGAAAACCTTTTTTTTAGGAATAACTTTATTCTAAGGAAAAGAGTACCTTTTTTAAAAACATCGTCGTTTTTTAAACGTCGACGTCCCTTCACTTTCTAGTGTGTGGTTTGGTCAACAAAAGAGTACCTCCTTTTCCTTAAAATCAAAGGTACTCTTGATTTTTTCCTAGGATTTCTAGGCTTAGCTTTTTTACTGCTGCTTCTACCTGTTGTGCAATTTTCAGCATGTGGTGGATTTTGACTCCAAGGTCCTTTTCTTCATCAATCTGTTGCAAGGTTATTAATTTGGTAGTTGTGACATGGGTTGTTATGTCCTACATGCAAAGTCTTGCATTTATCGATATTAAAAATCATTTCCCAATCTTCAGACCATTTGTGAAGTTCATGAAGAGCTCTTTGTAAGACCTCAGTATCATTTTCACTTTCCACTTTTTCATAAATTTTATTGTCATCTGCAAATTTGATGATGTGGTTTGTAATATTTTCATATGTCATTGATGTAAATGACAAAAAGGGTTGGTCCCAAAAGGGAAACACTGGTACTTCACTCACCACATTTCTCCAGTCAGATTCTTTACCATTTAGCAGGACTCTTGGTTTTCTTTGTTTTAACTATTGTTTTATCCATTTTAGTAATCCACTACTTATTCCATGTGCCTGTAATTCCCTTGCTGGGCTTTTGATAAAGCCTTTTAGAAGGTAGCCTTACTACCTTATCAAATGCTTTAGCAAAATCCACGTATACTACATCTACTGGAAGTCCTATGTCCGATAAGCTGGTTACCATTTCTAAAAGATGGTAAATGAGTCCCTGCCTTAGGATTCTCTCCATGAGCTTGCAGATGTGTGATGTCAAGCTGATCGGATGGTAGTTTTCTGATAAGCTCTTTCTGCCTTGTTTTTTATTATTTTAAATAGGAGTGACATTTGCATATTTCCAATCTATGGGAACTATCCCTTGCTCCAAAGATTTTCTGAAAAGGAGTTTCAGTGATACGCATAGTTCTTCTGCCAGTTCCTTCACAACATTCGATTTAATTCCATCCACACCTGGGGCTTCTGAGTCTTTTTAGTTTGTCAATGCTCTTCCCGATTATGTTGCACATTATGGATACTGCATATCCCTTAATTCATTCTCTTCACCTCTTTCAAACATTTGTGTGGGTAATAGAATGTCGTCTAATCGTTCTACTGTAAACACTAATGTAAGGTATTCATTCAGAGTGTTTGCTGCTCTTTTATCATCCATTATATCTTGGTTAATCTCATATTTTAAGGGTCATATCCTTTGTTCTGGTTTTACTTCTTATAAAGGCATAGAACAACTTTCGATCTTTATGTTTTGGGCAAGTTTTCTTTTGTAGTTTCTTTTGGCTGAACTGATTTTCTGGATGGCTGAATTTAATGCCCTTTTATATAGTCTCTCAATCAATTTTGTGCATCATGGATTTATACCTACTCCAGAGGTTCCGCTTAGGTATCAACACTCATTTTTCCACCTGTGTCATCTATTAGTTCCCTTTCTTTTCTTTTCATTTTTGAACGAATTCAGTGATGAGCTTCTTGAAATTTTCCCATGATGCTTGCATGCCATGTTCATCTATTGGCTCCCTGCAGGAGATGTTTTGCTGTTCCTCTCTCATTCCTTGCTAGTCTTCTCCAGGGTAATCTTGAAAGTCATCATCATGGACTTGCCTTTACTTGGGTTTCTATAATTGTAATGCATCTTAGAATATTGTGATCACACAAGGGGTGAGTATGAGACAGGATTTCTGTTCCAGGTCAAGAATGTTTCCTCCTGCTTGTAATGTTAGATTTACCCAATATGTGATCTCGTGGTTAAAGTTCCCGATTGTAAGGATTTGGGTTTTTGATGTGTCACTGATTACATTAGGCAGATCAGCAACTTCCTCTGCTGCTGCTGCTGTTGCTGCTGTGTCATGCCTGTGGCATACTCTCACCCTCAGTTTACTACCATCCTGAGCTAATATGTTGCACCATACACACGCTGAGGATCCCATGGCATTTAATTCCTCATTGGAGGTTTCATTCAGGTTCTCTTTCACATATAGCATTACCCAACCTGCTTTTGTTGCTCTGTCCTTTCTGAATGGTGGATGGTATCCTGAGAGATGGAAGAATATCCCTTCTATTATGTCCTGCTGTCCCCATGTTTCACTGATGCCAATGATGTCGGGATTCTCAGCCTCAGCCCATGCACACAATGCATCTAATTTATTTACTAGGCTTCTGCCATTTGTGTAAGAGTAATTTAAACTCGTGACCTTGTTCCTGGGGGACTGAGAGGTTGCTCCTGCATTCTGCACATTATTATTCCACACATTGTTACTCTGGTTCTGAGCCTGTTAGATATGGTTAGTTATATAAATAGTTAGTTCTGCCTGGTTGCCTGAAGGACTATCCTATCTTCCATCTACTATCATGATCACCTGCCCTCGCCTGATCTTTAGCTTTGAATCTTTGTATCAGTCTGTGTTTCATAACTCCTTTAGTCTGCCTCTTTGTACCCTGTCGTTTTTTTTTTTTTTGCTGTTCTGCTGTTCGGTCTGAGAAGATGTAAACTTGGTTATACACTTCGAGATCTTTTAGTTTGTGTGCACTGTTGAGTATCCTCCTCCTGTGTTTCTCTAGCGGTTTCTCTATCATTGCTTCAATGAGTTACTAGTCATTCTTGTCCTCATATTTGCAAAATTTCTCATAACGAGGTTGTTTTTTCAGCTTTGCCTATCCATGGCTTCTGCATCCCAATCCTGAGCTCTGCCTGCATTCATTGTGTTTCCTTCCCCCCCTGGCCCCGGGGAGCATCTTGAGGTTATCCCCCTGGGTGTCTGATTACACTCCGGGTTTTTGCCAGTTGGCCCCGGGGAGCATGCCTATATGAGTATTTTCTATTGATTGTTTAAAGTCCACAAATTTTTTCATCAATACCTTCGGTACCTCCTGTGGCTCTTTATCACCTTGTGACACTCTTGCAGTTGATTGGACTCGATCAGCTGGCTTCACTCCCACAGCTGTTATTCTAAAATACAGTACTGTTATTCATAAAGGGTATTTTTCCATTACATGCTAACTTTTAAAATCTCCTAATACATTTTTTATTTGATTAAATTAATAATCATTATGATTGTTGCTGAATAAGTGTTAATTTCTTGTCACAGCAGCCACTGTCTACAGTACATAAGACATTGAAAGACAAATGACTAAGCCTAAAAAGACTAAGGGTCAATTTGATTAATCAAAATTATGTGTAAACATTTATTATTCATGAAATAGAGCAAATACAGCATGGTATATCAATTTAGTCTGCAATAATCATTGTTAATAGTTTTTAATAATACGTTATCATAATGATAATGGTGCATAATTCGGTACAAGAAAATAGTAATACCCATACAATGGGATCAAACCCGCATCTCTGAACTCCATGTGGTAGTGCATGCACCAAAAGCACTCAGGGAGTCCCATGAGGGTTCAATCCCATCATGCGGGCTCAACCCCATCATGCGGGCTCAACCCCATCATGCGGGCTCAATCCCATCATGCGGGCTCAACCCCATCGGGCGGGTTGAATATTTTCTCGTAGATACATCACGTTCCTATGATTTCAATGATGTGATTTTGCAACAGCATTAGGAATTAAATTACAATGTCAGCCTATTATCTAAACAATGATATTTTGTAGACAGAATATAGTTATATGCTCGTGTTAAATGGAAAAAAATTAGATCAATAGTTTCATGCTTTTGAAAAGGTTTTTGCATTCAATGCATATTTTATATGGTCATTAAGTTTCTCAAATTCGAAGCTACATATATTCTTCTAAACACAGAGTTGTATTTGAATGTAATATACTTATTACATTCTTATTACAATATTACACTTATTTTAATATACTGTACATTTTTTTTATTACGATTACACTGGTGTTTTTGCAAAAGGCCACAACAATGTAATGATTTGACATATACCTTCTAGTTTCCACGTTAATGATACTGTACAGTATTGGCTTTGCTCGGTAATATAAATACGAAAACATCTAATAAAAATATAATATATTAACCTTATTGCATTTTTTATGCTCTGTTTTTATTTAAAAAAACATTACTTTTCAGACAAATAGTTATTCATTATTTTCCACACACTCCTGTCATTGTAAAAAGTTTTGTCTAGCCATCATCCTGACATATACAATAATTATAGAATCATAATGTTCAGTGTTTTTATGATTATATACTGTAGTGTCTCGAAATTATGCCTAAATGCTTGTACATTTAGGGCAAATTGTTATCATTTTTGTAAATTACTCAATTGTCCGTGGTGTCAAATTTGCTAGCTAATCCTGAACAAAGGAGTGATTATTTGTTGTGTAGATATAAATGAGTATATCATGGAGTAACAAAACCATCCCCGAACTAAGACGATTCATACCAGGAATGGCTGAGGGCCTCAGTACTAACAACACTACAAACCAGAGATAATAGAGCTGATCTCATCGAAACTTTTAACGTACTGTACTGAACAAATTGGAAGATAATACTCTGGAGCACTTCTTTAAAAGGTTTAATATAGCTCACACATGGGCAACAGCTTTAAGCTCTGTAAGCTATACTGTTGGACAGTAAACAGCAGTTGCTTAGGGGATCTTGATGAGCCTGACGGGCTTCCTGTCCTCAACTATGGGAAACATGCATAATGTGAATCATATCTCTTTATACAAGATATTGAACACCACTTTTTGTGAGTAGATAATGTCATCCTTGACCATGTGGAAGAATTGAGAGTTATGGAGTAAGGTGCTTGTTCATAGCCACCATTGCTGTAGTACCTGTATTATATTTGAGTAATAATAGTAATGATAATGATAATATTTTACTTATACAAGGGTGCGTACTTGATAAATGAACAGTGGAGGATACATAGGTAAGATAAGTACAATGCATAAAGCCACTAATACACAGTGTACATAATAATTGATGAGAAAATCCCAAAATTTGTCAAATCTTTGTCAAGTGGCACAAATGTGAGAGTTCACTATTGTATTAATAGGCTCTTAGTCTTCAACGAAAATCTTGAGTTTTTATCAAATTTGTGCATTGTTTGAAGATTCAGACCCTTAACATTTTGATCATGAATTTATTTTTATAATTCATTGTGTCGGGAAACAGGAAGCCAGATCAGTGTATTCATTACACTTTTGGTTTTTATAGAGTTCCCCCCCCCCCCCCTTTAAAGCCGATTTACCGACCCCGCCCAGGATGCAACCCCACAACAAGCTGACTCACTGCTAGGTGAACAGATCCATTAGGTGAAAGGAATTTTGCCCAATCATGTCTGTCCCACCCGGGATTCTCGATTGTTCGTCATGAACGAACCCGACTGTACTACCGGGTCCCCATATATTATAGACCTTCAGTGTCTACATCTATAGTGGAGGGATGTACGTTAATGATCTACAGCATCAACTGTTAAGTATAATGCTCTGACAATTGTCTTTTTCATAATATACGTTGTAAAGTAGCAACAATGCTTCTCCGAACATTTTACCTGCACAATGAGTTGAGTACCTACCAAGTATAGTTAAATTTTAACATACAAAAACGTTTTAGATATTAGCCATATAAAATGTTAACATGATAGACGAAACATTTGACTGCATTTTGACCAAAACTTAACTTTCTGTGGGGAGCCCCCATCTGCTCCCTGACACTATCATACACTGATCAATGTCATACTATTTAGTGCCATCAGTCGCAGAGTTCTATATTTACATACTGGGGACCACGAGTCGGAACCTGGTCCCCCCTCAAACGCACAGAGAGCGATGGCATATGATCACTTTACATTTAAAGGTTACCATCTTTGCCATCACTTGGGAAGGCACCTCCAGAAAGATAGGTAAATCAAAACAGACCACTGCGTGGTTACAAACAAGACTTCAACCCTAAAAGAACTCCCCAACAGTGAAAATAAACAAAAATTGTGAAATTGTACCCCAGCTAGTTTACTCTACCTCCCCCTTCGTTAGGGAGGTTCGAGGAGGGAGCCGGACCCCACACCTGTCAGTTCTAGACTGATGTCTGTGCCTAGTAGTCGTCGTCGCACTGGCTCTGATGTCTCGTTTTGAGTGGTGTTTTTGCCTTCGAGGCTGTTCTTTTATTCGAGGAGCCAACCTGCAGTCACCCCTCGTGCTCTTCGGAGGTACGCCGATTTGTCGGTCGTGTTTGGTACTATGTCTTGGGACGATACTCGAGCGCTGGGGTTTTGGAGGTTGAAAAGGGTCTCGACTGCCAGGTTTCTTGTTAACGTCCCTGGTTCGCTGCGGCCATGTGTAGCTTCGACGTGATACAAGGAAGGTGACAGCACCGCAGGTAAGTGCCCCGTTTAGTCATCCTCTGAGTAGTATATAGCTTCAGGGAGCCGATGGGGCTCCCCCACACAAAACTAGCGTTGAATGTAATGAAACGCCAGTTTCTGGGTGAGCCCCGGAGGCTCCCTGACACTCTTCCCCAGGTCGTCAGCGTGGTTTATCATTCTAGGACTGACTGGTATGAGGCCTGGCTGACCCGGGCTGGCTCCCTCCCCACCCCTTCAGCCAAACGAAGGGAAATGGAAGAAAAGGGAACTATCAAGAGAAAGCGTCAAGCCATTACGACTATATGGTACATGGAAGGGGTCAGGATAAGGGTTTGGGGTCGGACGGGGGGGGGGGAAGAAATGGTCTCCAACCACTTGGATGGTCGGGGATTAAACGCCGACCTGCATGAAGCGAGACCGTCGCTCTACTGTCCACCCCAAATGGCTGGGCAAACGAAGGTGGAGGTGGGGAAGGGGGCTAGTTTCACTAAATTTTGGACATTTGTTTTCACTGTTGGGGAGTTCTTTTGGCAATTTTAAGGTTGCGGTCTCTTTTTTAGCCATGCAGTGGTCTTTTTAATTAGCCTATCTTTCTGGTGCCTTCCCTAGGTTGTGGCAAAGATGATAATGTTTAAATGTAAAGTGATCATAGGCCATCACTCCCTGCACCTCTCTTAGGGGATCAGATTCTGGCTTGTTATGGCCACTATGGGTCGCAACCGGGTTCTTTGATGGTAGAACCAAAATGATAGTATCCGACCCCAAGTCGGTAGTACGCTTTCAAGAAAGTGGCTATGTAGTGCATAAAAAAGGAGGGGATGAACAAAACACTGTTCCTTTCGTCAATGTATTAAATATCTTTCTACCACCGTTAAGTATATATATGTACACCGTCACCATAAATAATATATAAAGAACAGATAGGCTATTACTATACCTGGATATCAAACGTGTTCACGTGCAGAGTTCATCACTCCCCAGTATTTCT